CACACACACACACACACACACACACACACACACACACACACACACACACACACACACACACACTACAATGAAGGATTTGTGTATTTGAAGATATATTTTTATTCTTTTGAAAGTTATGTTATAATTAAAAAATAAATTTATTAACACAGGTATGGGACGCTACCGGTCATCAGTTATATTGCAGTAATGTCGGTGATCACCCTGTGACAGCTATTAGTTGGTGTCATTCTTCTGGCGAGTATTTTGCTGTTGGATCTTTCAACACAATCAAGCTTTGTGATAAAAATGGGGTAAGATTTAATATAAATTAAACAGCAGTTGATCTATTACTATAATATACACTGATTTCTTTATTGTTAGACGAGACCTTTACAATAGTATGTTTAACAAAAAGATCTAACGCCTTGTCAGAGTTCATTGTTCTAGAGCAAGTTTGTTGTTCGGATAGATTTTATAAAGTACAGTAATGCCAACCAACTGGAGAAGAAAGAGACTAAAACATATAAACGAACGTACTTGTGAACTTTAGTTAATGTGTTAAAGTATAATTACTTCAACAAGATTAATTTTTTATAGTATACATGTACAGATGTATAACTGTCAGGTAACTTTAAATTGTATATTTATATTTATTTTTTGCCTTAATAAGAGGGACTTTTTCGGCTTCAAAAAATATGCCTTTTTCATAATATCTTTTTGAAAAAGCTACAAAAATCGAATTTTTTGTAAATGAACGTATATTTTTGATTACTAATCATAACTTTTTATTTTGTTTTACTGAAGAATACCCTCCTTCTTCCTAAGCCTTGCACGACATACAGCATTTCGTGGTACCACACGTATTTCCAACCTGGTTTATCTGAAACAAAAAATATTGGGTCTTTTTATATGGAAAAGTTGCCTTAAGCAAAGAAAATGTAAAAAGATTTTTTAAATTAGTTAATATATTTGACCCTTATGTTCAAAGTTTAAAAAATTTAAATTTTTTCATCAGTTTTTACAGAGTTTATAGAAATGATTTTCTTGACCAGCTTGCGCGTCGTGACAACGAATTATAACGAGTATCTATGTTGCTTTTTTATTGTAGGAGAGAAATGTTTGAAATAACAATTTTATTGGAAATTCTGTATTTAATAGCAGCACTAAAAGTGTTCACACATAAAAAATTTTTTTATTTAAATTAATTTTCCTCACGCGTGCACTATACCGCAACGAACGCTTTTGCGTACGGTAAATAGCCAATACCTCAAGCCGTTGAGTTATTTCTCTAACCCCACGCAAAAGCGTTACATTATTTATCGTGTTTCAGTGGTTGCATTCTATGGAAAAAGTAAATACTGGAAGCATTTATAGCATAGCTTGGTCCAGAGATAGTACACAAGTAGCTATGACATGCAGTAACGGAAAACTTTTGACTGGTCATGTTATAGATAGGTAAGTTTTAGTGGTACCATCTGTGCGACGGTATATATTTATATCTTCCAAAATCTACTAATTTTAGATTTCAAAAGTTAACTGTTGTATTCAGTTTTGTAAAAGCTTCCATGTGAAAAAAATTTGATAAAAAAAATTTGGTAAACGTTCAGAAGTAGTGCTCCCTTAAAAACCGTAATTCTTTCAGTAATGAACAAAACGAGTTATAATAAGATGCATATGTGTACAATGTTTTAAAAGAGAGGTTCTAAGATTTTTGTGGGAATAAATTCCATTTAAAAAACGACAATTTTATTTTTTATTGAAATACACAGGAAAAAGTTTTTAATGACTATACGCTTCAGATGTTTATAAATATAAAGATCCTTCTCTCTAGCGATCCTACACACAAACGAGGTCCACCCTATCTTCTTTCCTGCTTAGGATCGCTTAACTAATTCTCACACAAAACGAGTTCTATCCCACTTCCTCTTCTATTGTGGGGCGTACGACTTTCCATGCGAAGCGATATCCATTCCACTTCCCCCCTGCCAGGAGCATATGATTTGACAAAAGTTGTACGTCCCTAGGCAAAGAAGGAAGAGGAGGTCCATGCATTTTTTTCATTTTTGCGAACATTTTACTTCGATCTCATGGCTAATCAGGCTAATATAGATGATAATGTAGAAGACTATAAGAAGCTTTACATCATTCCAATAAAAAATAAAACTGTTATTAATTTTTTTAATAGAATTTTTTCAACAAAAACCATAATAAGTCCCTTCTCAGAACATAATGGTATACCATGGTGGTTTTTTATAACTAGTATTGTTCATTACTAACTGCAGCTTTTAAGGAAGCATTTCTAAACATTTACTAAAAGTTTTTTAAAGGAACGTAAACTCACATTATCTAAAATAGTGTACATATCACATAACAAAGGTATCAAGTAATTAAAAAAATACGAGGTAAATTTTTGTCCAATTTTGTACGATTTTCTCAGGATTTGCTCATATAGTACGTACAAATGTACATGAAATTATTTAAGATTTAGCTTTGCGACCGCATGCCGTTTATCTATATGTATATAAAAATAAAAATGTATATATATTTATACAAGTTTTTTGTATAATCATAGGAAATTAGAATGGGATAATTATGAAGCAACATTGATAAAAAGGAAAATAATTGAGATTAGAGAAATCGGTAATGAATTTCGTGAAGTATTAGAAATTTCTGATCGTGTTGTACATCTCGAATTTGGCTTCGATCATTTAGTCGTCATTACACCCGCTCAATGCCATGTGTACGCTGTCACAAATTGGAATACACCAGCGATTTTTAATTTAAAGACAAGTACCATCTCTGCTGTACTTCTTGCAGAAAAGTAAGTTATTAAATATTTATTCAATATATAATATAATATAAAATAAGATGATATATCTTGCACAAACAGTGAAACTGTTTAAAACTAATTAGAGGTTTATTTTTATACTTAAAACTTTCATTTATCGCTATTTTTTAAATAACATTTGAAGTAAAATAATAAGAAGAATTTATTGGATGAAAAATATCTGTCGTCACTTTGGCCACCAAATAAACTATCGTTTTAACCATTAATGAGATCCAATAATCTCTGTTTTTTGCAACTCGTTGGCTAGCGTAAAGTAACACGATTAGTCTCGCGCTATGTCTTACAATTAGCTATCGTGTTATCTGATACTATCGCTAACTGTGTTTGAATGGAATTTTTGACATACATAATTTTCATGTATCGTTTCTCTAATTGCTCTGTATATAAAAATTTAGCGTATAAAACTGAAATGATGATATTAAAAAATCATTTTCAAGGTATTTATGTTTTATTCCGACTCTTATATATGTTAAAATGTTTTGTAAATTGTTCATCTTTTAGTTATTGTTCCTTAATATTTTTATACACAAAATGTTAATAGAAATAAATTGATGTAAAGAAAAAACACATAGTTGTTTTAAAACATTATAGATACTGTATATTGACATTAATATTATTTGTAAATATTTAGTGTAATTCTTTTGTAGGCACTTTTTAATAGTGGAATGGAATGCTGTATCACTGTACAGTTACCAAGGCCGTTTATTGGGTAGTCCAAGATGGAAAGGTTTTTCTTCAGAACCACTTCATCCTATTTGCATGTCATTGTGTGCTGATACTTTGGTCATAAGAAATCAAAACAACGAAAAACGTAAGATAAATAATAAAATATATTAAAAGATATTATCAAACTTTAATAAGTTTCTTTTTATTATTTTGAAGCTTACATTCTTTTTTAAATATAATAGATTTCTTTGAATTCACGTTGATGGTGGCGACATCGAATTAGTCGACGGTCTGACAAAACTGGTATAGTCACACCATGAAGTAACTCTTACTTCATGAGTCACGCATACAAGTACGAGTCCATGTCTTATATGTTCATTTTCGGTCTGAAGGCCAGCATGGGCTCGTGCTTGTGTGTGATATAGCGCCTCGTCACGATAAAAGGCTAAATTAATAGGCGTGAAAAGTGATGTTTTGACAATGAAATTTTGTGTTGCGTGCCATTTCCATATTATAGTATGTATATATATGTGCCTAATTGTAAAAATATCTCGTACTTATGAAAGTAAACTAAAAATGAGCAAACACTACACTTATAAATTAACTTGGAAAGAAAAAGAGCACTAGGAGTGAAGTGCAGATAACTTTACGCACAAACGCTGATATTTATTAAGCAAAACTTATTTATTAAAAAAATTATTCTTACATGTTTCGGCTCATTTTTTAGCCTTCTTCAGAGACAATGAAAAATTACATAAATAAAATATAATTTAAAATTGATAAAAGGATTAAAAGATGTATAAACACCGCAAGCTTCCCCACAACCGAGAAATAAAATCAGATGACAATTTCATCTTAAAGAACACAATAATATGCACGATAAAGGCAGAAAAGAAAAATACATAAATAGAATGCTGAAGATTCTATTACTAAGACACTACACTTATCTTGGAATTTCATACGTCAAAGCGCATTTTTCATTCGTTTCGATAGCTGTCAAACTGTGTTTCCTGTCGAATATAGGTTCACTTTACGTGCTTTTTACTGACTATCAAGGGAGGAAAGTATAATAGTTTCTGCCGATTTTTACAAATGTTGTAAAGCGATCTCATCATTAAGATTTGTTCAAATTGTCTTTATTGAAAAATGGGACGCAACAAAAATGAACGTGTCATTCTCGCTTATGACGTCACGATTCCAGCATGGCCGTCGCGACTACTCACGAGCCTTAATGTCATTAAAAATATAACATTCTTGGATAATTATAATAAAATAAATGAATTGAAGATTTGAAGGACTCTTTTATATAACAATAATTAACACGTTAAATAGGGCGAATAAGAGTCAAATTAGAATTTAAAATCTAAATCTGTTAATTTATTCTAATATTATATATTGCGAAGAATATCACGTAATGTTTGGCGTTTCGTCTCGGCTTCCACTACTGGACTCATCAGTAAGGCATTGTAGTGGAAGCCTACCTTATACGCCTTGATAAGTTATTAAATCGAGATTCTATATAAAGAGATATACGCGTGTCTTAGCACTTGCGAGAATTTGCGAATATCATTAACAGATTTAGATTTTAAATTGTAATTTGACTCTTATTCGCCCTATTTAACGTGTTAATTATTGTTATAATAAAATACTTTTTTGTTTTTCTTGTATTTATTTTTTAGTACTTCATATTTTGGAAATACCTCACAACAAGCCGATAATTGAAGGTCAATCGCATTTGCACTTGCACAACGTGACACAAGTGGCCTTAAATTACCATGGTGATATAAAAGATCGACAATTGGCATTAATAGATGTCAATAAAGATTTATTTTTAATTGCAATAAGAAATATAGGCTTTGGAAGAATTTGCAAAATAGGTATGTAATATTATATTATATATGCAGGGTATTTCATTTTTAAATATACGCAGAAAGTATAAAGACTCACCCAGTCCTATATCCCGGCCGGCCCTCTATACCTTAGAAACGGTTTTAGATATGGAAAAATGTTTCGGATAAAAGTTGTAGAACATTAAGGGAACGTATAATGGCACCATTGGTTTGATGTTGAGTGACATCACCAAGGTCAGTGCAAGGTCATTTTAAATTTCTTAAATGGGACCCCTAATTTTTATTGCGTACTCTTGTATAGTTTATCCCGAGAGCTTTTTAAAACGTTACAATAAAATACTATTTCATTAAGTATTTTTTGAATTACGAGGATTGAAAGTTACTGGGGGATCTGTTAAATTTACAATGTTAAATTTAATCTAATTTAAGTTGCCACTATATAGTCCTGTTCAATATATCATTATTTTATGTTAAACCAGTGGAATGTTTAACATTTTTAAACAGTTGATCAAGTTGAGTGACTTTGACTCAGTGTTAATTTTAACCTAGTTCGAACTGTGTTTTAAACTATTTAAAGTTATTATTTTAGTATAAAATAATGACATATTGAGTAAGAATAAAGTGTCAAAACTTAAATTAGATTAAATTTGACACGGCATACATTAAAAAATGTGTAGAGAGTTTTAAGACTTTTAGGATAAACTTCAGGGGTTAATAAATTTCAACTGAGGATTAACTTTTATTAAGGAAGTTGTGTTCTTCGATGTATATTTAAGAAGACGCTACGCGTCCTTATTCAACTCGTCTACGAGATCTATCGCGAAAAGCAGCATTGCGCGTGACGTCCAAAAATACTAATCCGCACGTTTCTGCTTTATCGTTACCGTTTTGTAAAAAATAAAGTAAAAAATTTAAATTATATTTATTAGATGAACGATCAGAGGTGTAAAGCCTTAAAAATGAATACAGATTCCTAAATAAAAATTAGTATTTTTTTATGAGATTTCATATTAATTTGTATTCGAAACAACTCTATATAATTTCTAAAATTTAGTAATTTATAGATATCTATAAATTAATTATGTATTCTAGCTGTAATGGCTCAAAATATCGTATGGGCAACCGACGCAAATATATTAGCTGCAATGTTGGATGCAAATCTGTCAGTATGGTTATGTCCTAACTGTGTTCACTACAGTGATCGTAAAGTAATACGACGTACAAGAATCGATAAGGAAAACAGGTATTACATATAAAGAATCGTCAATTTTATAAGCGCGCGCGGGTGTTTGTTAAAAATTTTTACCTTTTTTTTTAAGAGATAGGATGTGACAGAAGATAGTTTAGGTAACGATCGAAAAATGTTGATTTGTGAAACCAGTTAAATACTAAAATGTTAATAATTGTTCTATAAAAAGATAATTCTGTTATATACCATCTATTTTGATCGTGAAAAAAAGTAATTAGAAAGAATATCCAACATATGTGCTGCTATTTGTGAAGTCCAGGTAGTAAGATATAAGGAGACTCTGTAAAATAAAAGTGGACCCATTTTAGGTTTCGAGTTCACTTTCCGATTCTGATGAGCAGAATCTCATTATGCGCAGCACTACTAAATTCACGAGCGCTGCGAGTGTCGAGAATCGGAAACTGAACTCGAAACCTAAAAATGGGTCCATGTTTCGTAGACTGGCGAGACTGAGTGGAGACTCCTTATATCTTCCTTCATGGTGAAGTCTAAAGGAGGATATTTTGAAGAACCAAAAATAAAGAAATTAGTTTCTATTTTATTTTATGTAGCGTAACATTAGATTTTTCCTGGAAAACAAATAAGAATTCATTAATTCTTCTAAAAAAGTTTATTATATTTTATTTCTGGATTTTCAAACTTTCAACATATACATATATTTAGACTATAATTTTTTTATTACATTATTGTTTTTAAAACATGTTTACTTAATTGATGCTTTGTTTATGTACATTTAAACATTTTTAATAATATAAAATATTGTATTTAATTGTTATTTATGTAAGTCGTATAACGTTTATAACCTTTAATTACTTTAAATAATTGTATTTTAATATTGTTTATAAATATTTTTAAACAGCGAATATGGAAAACAGCCTAACATCGTGAGTGTTCGTAATGGTATAGTTATGGTGAGACGTGGAGACGGTGCTATTGTAGCTTCATCATTTTATAATCTCTTCACAAGTTTTTACGAACACATATCAAACAAAAAATTGAAAGAAGCGCTTTCTCTCTGTCGTATAGCTCAGGTAACATTAAATGTAATACATATTGCGTAATGAGTGTTCTATTTGAAACTTCGAATGTAATTATCTCCCAAACTATTCGTTATTCTAATAAATGTTTTAAGTGGAACTTACTTTGTTTCGAAGAGGATAATTTATTATAGTAATACAGATCTTTTCTAAGTGGACGTGTTTCCAAGATTCGAAGGAAATCATTTGAACGTATTAACGTACAAACATCAAAAGATGGATAGTTTACGAGATATTTTATACTTTATTCCGTCATGTAAAATATTAAATATCTCGTAAAATGTTAATTTTTTGGTAATCACACTCTTTGATACTTTTATAACATAATAAAATATATCAATTAATTTAGCAAACGCATAGCTGATTATTTAAAAAATTATCCATCTTGCTCACACATTCTTTTTTTAGTAACTATATATGTACATTTTTTGTTCCTTGTAAAGCATTCTTATAAAGTTCTATATTGTACGCCTCTCTTCCCTCCTACTCATCATCACGAGTCGTTCCATCCGGTGTCCCAAAAGCAGGGCTAGGCCCTTGCCTCTCTATTATTTACTATTTTCATCGCCGATATACCCTTTATCTTCATTTCCTCCAAACTTTTGATGTGCGCCGACGATGTTGTTCTATTTTCTCTCTCTCTCTTTCTCTCGTCTACGGCTGCTCTAGATCAGGACATCAAATCTATCGCCGAATGGGTAAACTTCCTTCATCTAAACTAAATCTATTAAAATCTTGTTTTTTAATCGCTGGTTTTATTATACTTCCCCGCTATCTCATCTTGCTCCATTCAACATTTCTTTGAACTTTATCACAATTCCTCGTTCGGACTCCATTAAAATTTTTGGAAACCATTTCAATTCCTCTTTCGCAGTACTTATGTCTCAGTTAAATGCAAAGCCGTTTTTCTCCGTTTTTGTTTCCGGCTATGTGAAGTTGGCCCCCCCCACTATTGCAAATCTAAAAATGACCATTACCATTCGTTTGGTGGTCGTTTGGTGGTGTTTGGTAGTCCATTCCGGACGTTTGGTAGTCAAAGATATAATGAGAAATGTCAAAAAAAGAAGAACGCGCGTGAAGTTAGCCCCCCCATATCTAAAACTCGGCTTTGCAGACTGCAAATGGAATAATGGCTGTAAGCATTCGTTTGGTGGTCGCTTACTGACGTTTGGTAGTCCATTCCCGATGATTGGTAGTCGAAATTATAGCTGGAAATATCAAAAAAAGGATATATGCGTGTGAAGTTAGCCCCTCATTTTTAAAACTCGGCTTTACAGAATGCAAATGCAATAATGGCTGTAAGCATTCGTTTGGTAGTCGCTTATTGACGTTTGGTAGTCCATTCCCGACGATTGGTAGTCGAAATTACAGTCGGAAATATCAAAAAAAAGATATATGCGTTAGCCCCCACATTTCTAAAACTCGGCTTTGCAGAATGCAAATGCAATAATGGCTGTCAGCATTCATTTGGTGGTCGCTTACTGACGTTTGGTAGTCCATTCCGGACGTTTGGAAGTCTTTTCTTTTTTTGACATTTTTCATTATAACTTTGACTACCAAACGTCAGTAAGCGACCACCAAACAAATGCTTACAGCCATTATTGCATTTGCATTCTGCAAAGCCGAGTTTTAAAAATGGGGGGGAAACACACGCATGTATCCTTTTTTTGATATTTCCGCCTATAATTTCGACTACCAATCGTCGGGAATGGACTACCAAACGTCAGTAAGCGACCACCAAACGAATGCTTACGGTCATTATTGCATTTGCAGTCTGCAAAGCCGAGTTTTAGATATGGGGGGGCTAACTTCACGCGCGTTCTTCTTTTTTTGACATTTCTCATTATATCTTGACTACCAAACGTCCGGAATGGACTACCAAACACCACCAAACGACTACCAAACGAATGGTCATGGTCATTTTTAGATTTGGAATAGTGGGGGGGCCAACTTCACATAGCCTTTGTTTCCTATATTTCTTTCGTTATATTCTAAATATTTCTCAAAAACTCTTATTCTCTCAACTTCTCACAATTTCCTGATGACATATAGATACTAAACAAATATGTATTATGAAAAAAAGTTTTTATTAGCTTGTACTTTTTAAATAACTTATAAGAAATGGATACATATATTTATTACTATGTGAAAATTTTAATAAAACTGACTAGAAGAAAGATAATGTGGAAAATTTATTGTATACTTCTTTCTAATCCACGTCTTCTCTTTGTATTAATTTTATAACTTGTTCTACAGAAATTAACGTAACGTAATCTTTTGTTGTCAGAACGAGATATTGTGGACTTGCATGGCCGTTATGACAACTGATAACAGAGAATTACACGCTGCAGAAGAAGCTTACGCTGCTATTAGTAGATTTGAAAAAGTTGATTATATCAAATACATCAAGGTAATTACATATTTATGTTATTTAAATTCACATACTTTAATTGTTAATATAATTTAAATAATTGTGTGTATGTGTGTGAAATAATACTATATTTTCAGAATATACCCAATGCTACAGAAAGACATGCAGAAATGGTACTACTGGCAGGGGATCTGTCGATGTCAGAAGGTATACTGTTACAAAGTAGTCTGATCAAAGAAGCTATACATATCAACATTCAAATTTATAATTGGAATAGGTACGTTAGAAAGTTATGCGAGACATACGAATTATAAAATGTTATAAAATACGCACGCGCGCATATATTCATACAGGTGCATGTGCGTGCGTATGTATCGATATATTATATATGTTACGTATACATATATTAGTATGTGTAAGCGTTAGGATAGTATTAAAAATTATATAAAGGTTAAAAGAGATAAGAAAACGTTTTTTTTAGCATAAGAAAGGAATTAGGTGCATAGCATAAGTTTCTCTTCGATTGCCATCATGTTGCTGTCAACAAAGCAATAATAATTTCGTTTAGGGCAATCAAAAGGCATTATACGGACAACGGTTGCTTACGCAACAAACGGAAATACTGCAGTAGCAAATTTATTGTCATAGATGTTTCTAAAATCTATTTAAAATATTCATAAAATATTCAGTCCACATTTCTGTCAATTGAATGGAAATGCAATGTCATTAAATAGTATACAGCATCGCCATCAGAGGAATGTATTTAGTTAAATTTCTCGGTTTTGAAAAACGACATAGAATAGAATAAAAGGTGCAAAATTAAAATATTCTTCAATTGTCCTAATAAAACAATTTTTTGAAGTGAGCTCCGAGGGTTCGAAGATGAAAGTATAATACTTATTTTTTAATATTCGAATAACTGAAATGTATTACACTTAAAAATTTTATCACGCTTGTTACGCTTACAATAAAGACCTGGATCACGTTTCGTTCATCAGAGAGTTTGATAACGTTCGTTCATTATGTTAGGGTTTAACCCCTTTTATCGCAACAGTTTTTTTCATATTGCTGTCAGATTGCTAGCAAATTTCTTTTATGTTATGAGAATAGTTTCCATCAAGTTTTGCCACAATCACAATTGTCTTAACCTATAAAACAAAAGAGAAAAAATGTTTTCCTTCGGTTGCGCACAACCAAATTTTTCCAATAAACAGAATTGCTGGAAGCCGCCTCAAGAAAGATGGCGATTCAAGCGACGCAATTTTTATCATATTGATAGCAACATGTGGGAAACTTGCTATATGGATACTTATCGTTTCGCTGCGCTCTAACCACTTGTGTGAATTCGTTCTGTATTAAATTAATGCAAAAATAATATCGATTTTTATCATATTAAATTTTAGGAACTCTATTCTACTATAAAGATACGTTTGGTTGTGTTCATGTTACATAATTTTCAAGCGCAGATTGCGCTTTGTTAATTGTACTAGTATAATTTTGTTTTCAATGTTAACTTTATAATCAATTATATTATCATTATTATTAAGTATGAAAAAGTAGTAATTTTGAATATATTTTGAATACGAATTCAAACTAGGTTTTAAAATAGCAAAAATAAGTCGAAGAATTAATAAAATTAGGCTAGGTTCGACTAGGAAATGATAAGCGAACAGACAATATAGTAACGGAGAATAGTCTTGGAAATAAAAAGGGTTTTGGACATGGTTTGCAATTATATTGGCAACGATTTTGAAGGCAATTATTGAACCTGATCTATTAAAACCGCTCGAGAGATTGTGAAATGTATAGCAGCCCCGCGCTGATTCCAATAACCATAACGAATTGTACAATAAACTAATGCAATCAAATCAAACGAGTAATGTACACAACTTATCAATGCTCTTAAATTTATCATATAATGCATCGCAAATAATTATGTATTAAGTATTCTGGGTTATGTATGTATATATACGGTGATATTATATTTATTAATATTAAGTATCGTTTACTACCCTATTAATATATTCCCCTATTTTGCATTTTTATTAAAGAAATAAAATTTATCTCTCTCTCTCTCTCTCTCTCTGTTTTTAATTAGAGCCTTGGAATTAGCAAGAAAATATAAAAGGCAACTCGAGGAAGTTCTAGATGCAAGAAAAAAATACTTGGAGACCGTTAACAAGAATGAAACCAATCATAACTTTTTAACATTTTTGGTAAACACATTTTTATCACAATTCAATTAAATAAGATAATTTTTAACAAAATATATTATATTAATATCTATTATAAAAAAATATTTTTGTTTCAGGAAAATAATGAGATAAAATAAAGCGAGCATTCAAAAAATTCAAGATATAAGAAAACAGTGGTCAATTTAAGTAGATAAAATGTGCAAGAATTTATTTTAGACTCCTTCTTGCTTATACGTAATGACTTTCCACGCGAAAGGAGAACCTCACTTCACTTCCTGATAATCCGATTTTACACGTAAAATGGGGTCCATCCGACTTTTCTCGCTACCAAAAGGCGCACAACTTTCCTTGTAAAACATGGTCCAATCTGCCTTTCTCCTACCTATGGTTGCACGACTTTCTACGCAAAGCATCTACTTGAAACATCTACGTGAATAAAAAGTTGTACGCCCCTTGGTGGGAAGGAGGTGAGGTAGAACTCGCTTCGTTTGGAAAGTCAAGCGCTTCATGGCAAGGAACGGAATGGAGTGAATCTCATTTTGCGTGGAAAGTTATAACATATTTCTCAAAGCTAAAAATTGTTTTAAATAGTAAAAAAGAGGCATCATTTTCAAAATTTATTAGTAAATTTTTTCAACGAACAACGAGCTACGACTAAAACTTGTTGGGGGTCACTCAGGGTCATGATCTTAAAGATATCGTTTAAGGCTCCTGAATACTCAGCGGAGAACTCCGTGTCGATGGGTAGCGACACCGAATGAGTCGGTGGCTAGCAAAACTGGTAGTACGCTACTGGTTATACACACAAAAGCAAGCTCATGTCCGTGTGTTCATTTTCGGGTAGAGGAGGAGCGCACAGACATGGGTTCATGCTTGTGTGTGTGTATAGCGCCTCGCCATGGTAAAAGGCTGAACTAACAGGCGTGAAAAAGTGATGTTTTGACCAGTTTGACGACAACATTTTTCTTGCGTGCCATTTCGTCAATATTTTCTTATTTGTGAAAATGCGACTTTCCTCGTACTCGTAAAAGTCATAAAAATTGGCGGAAACTGCAGTTATCGTGAAATTTTATACGTAAAAGCGTATATTTCACCCGTTTCATCAGCTGTTAAAATGTGTGACTCTGCCCGAGTATAGGCTCACTTTACGTGCCTTTTACGACCATTTACTGACTATCAGAGGAGGAAAGGACAGTTTCCGCCAATTTTCACAAGTGTTTTTGAGCGATCTCGCCTTTTAAATTTATCCAAATTGTCTTTATTAAAAAATGGGACGCAAGAAAAGTTAATGTATTTTTCTCGCCTATGACGTCACAATTCCAACATCGCCGGTATTCAGGAGCCTGATGTCAACGGAGAATTGTCCCCCGACGATTATATTTAAAATTCATGATTATATAGAATATCGCTGTATTTATGTAAGAATTTGGTTTATACATTTATAAGGTATTAAATAGATGATATTCTTACCTAAACGGTGTCGTTTTCAATTTCAATCGTTTGTAATATAAAGATACGTCTGTTTAGGAAATAGAAATTTTTGTAAAATATAAAAAAAATTGTAAGATATCTTTGTGTAGCACAAGTGCTTTCAGTTAATAAATTTGTTATGTATAGAAAACCTCTCTCGTCTGGTAGATATCAATTTGGTCATGGACAGTAACGCGATGTTTTCGTCCAGTTTGTCCAGGTTTGTCGATAAATCAAATGCAACATGCTCTCTCATGACACGAGCAAATTTGTGTATATAAATTTTGTTCCACGGTTAATTCCTTGTAAATTTTTTTAAGTATTACTTTGTAATAAAGTTTATTTCTAGATGTAACTATCGTGGTGTAATATTTTGATTCACTTTCGAGCACCAAATACTATGACGACCTGACAAGGCATTTTAGTGCGCCGCGCACGCTTTTTCGCTATTAATTGTTTTTAATTACTTAGAGAGAACACTAAATTCGGATATGCATTTTTTTGGTACTACAATGTCTAAGGAATATTTTAGGATCAATTGTAGCCGAACGAGTCGATCCTCGACGATTTCGGTCCACGTCTCCAGAGTATCTCTGCTTTGGTCGCCACGTTCTTTATCCACCAAGAACGAAGGGTGGTTGAATCGAAGGTAGTGGTACTTGAATAATGACTTCTGATAATTAACAAAACAAACTGATTTATAGTAAAACAAGTATCAGTCAATATGTACATATGTTAGAACAATCTCACTTTAGAGTCAACTTATTTAATGATATCAAACACGCAAAAGTCCTTCGCTTCGTTGCGGACGGTTTGGATCGAAAGATCGCTAGACAACTTAGCTATCACCCGCTATCGTATTCACCGATGTATTTGCGAAACGGCTTACAACACGCCCTTAGACTTTAATAAGCGCCTGAGGAGGAGAAGGTTGGGTTTGATATGCATTTTGGAAGTTTGATACGTATGATACGTGAGCATGCGTATCATAAGTAGAATAAGTATAAAACTTGTATGATACCTTTAACATAACACTAACCTCTAATTTATTAATCTTATTCAATAGAAAACAATGGAAAGAACCGATTTGCGACTTCGAAGTGAAAAGTCGAAAATAGGAACCAAATTTGTAGGTTAGAAATGCGTATATCGGCATTCTCTATCGAATGGTAGTACCGAGAAAGAACCGATTGTCGACTTCGAAGTGAAAAGTCGAAAATTGGTACCAAATTTGTAGGTTAGAAATGCGTATCTCGGCGTTCTCTATCGAATGGTGGTAACGAGAAAAAACCGATTTTCGACTTCAGAAAATCGATACCAAATTTGTAGGTTAGAAAAAAGTCGAAAATGGGTACCGAATTTGAAGGTTAGAAATGCGTTTCTCGACGTTCTCTATCGAATGGTGGTAACGAGAAAAAACCGATTTTCGACTTCGAGGTGAAAAGTTGAAAATCGGTACAAAAATTGTAGGTTAGAAATGCGTATCTCGGCGTTCTCTATGGAATGGTCGTAACGAGAAAAAACCGATTTTCGACTTCAGAAAATCGATAACAAATTTGTAGGTTAGAAAAAAGTCGAAAATGGGTACGAAATTTGAAGGTTAGAAATGCGTATCTCGACGTTCTCTATCGAATGGTGGTAACGAGAAAAAACCGATTTTCGACTTGAGTAAAGTCGATAAACGATACCAAATTTGTAGGTTAGAAAAAAGTCGAAAATGGGTACCAAATTTGAAGGTTAGAAATGCGTATCTCGACATTCTCTATCGAACGGTAGTACCGAGAAAAAACCGATTTTCGACTTCAGAAAATCGATACCAAATTTGTAGGTTAGAAAAAAGTCGAAAATGGGTACCAAATTTGAAGGTTAGAAATGCGTATCTCGACATTCTCTATCGAACGGTAGTACCGAGAAAAAACCGATTTTCGACTTCAGAAAATCGATACCAAATTTGTAGGTTAGAAAAAAGTCGAAAATGGGTACCAAATTTGAAGGTTAGAAATGCGTATCTCGACATTCTCTATCGAACGGTAGTACCGAGAAAAAACCGATTTTCGACTTCAGAAAATCGATACCAAATTTGTAGGTTAGAAAAAAGTCGAAAATGGGTACCAAATTTGAAGGTTAGAAATGCGTATCTCGACATTCTCTATCGAACGGTAGTACCGAGAAAAAACCGATTTTCGACTTCAGAAAATCGATACCAAATTTGTAGGTTAGAAAAAAGTCGAAAATGGGTACCAAATTTGAAGGTTAGAAATGCGTATCTCGACATTCTCTATCGAACGGTAGTACCGAGAAAAAACCGATTTTCGACTTCAGAAAATCGATACCAAATTTGTAGGTTAGAAAAAAGTCGAAAATGGGTACCAAATTTGAAGGTTAGAAATGCGTATCTCGACATTCTCTATCGAACGGTAGTACCGAGAAAAAACCGATTTTCGACTTCAGAAAATCGATACCAAATTTGTAGGTTAGAAAAAAGTCGAAAATGGGTACCAAATTTGAAGGTTAGAAATGCGTATCTCGACATTCTCTATCGAACGGTAGTACCGAGAAAAAACCGATTTTCGACTTCAGAAAATCGATACCAAATTTGTAGGTTAGAAAAAAGTCGAAAATGGGTACCAAATTTGAAGGTTAGAAATGCGTATCTCGACATTCTCTATCGAACGGTAGTACCGAGAAAAAACCGATTTTCGACTTCAGAAAATCGATACCAAATTTGTAGGTTAGAAAAAAGTCGAAAATGGGTACCAAATTTGAAGGTTAGAAATGCGTATCTCGACATTCTCTATCGAACGGTAGTACCGAGAAAAAACCGATTTTCGACTTCAGAAAATCGATACCAAATTTGTAGGTTAGAAAAAAGTCGAAAATGGGTACCAAATTTGAAGGTTAGAAATGCGTATCTCGACATTCTCTATCGAACGGTAGTACCGAGAAAAAACCGATTTTCGACTTCAGAAAATCGATACCAAATTTGTAGGTTAGAAAAAAGTCGAAAATGGGTACCAAATTTGAAGGTTAGAAATGCGTATCTCGACATTCTCTATCGAACGGTAGTACCGAGAAAAAACCGATTTTCGACTTCAGAAAATCGATACCAAATTTGTAGGTTAGAAAAAAGTCGAAAATGGGTACCAAATTTGAAGGTTAGAAATGCGTATCTCGACATTCTCTATCGAACGGTAGTACCGAGAAAAAACCGATTTTCGACTTCAGAAAATCGATACCAAATTTGTAGGTTAGAAAAAAGTCGAAAATGGGTACCAAATTTGAAGGTTAGAAATGCGTATCTCGACATTCTCTATCGAACGGTAGTACCGAGAAAAAACCGATTTTCGACTTCAGAAAATCGATACCAAATTTGTAGGTTAGAAAAAAGTCGAAAATGGGTACCAAATTTGAAGGTTAGAAATGCGTATCTCGACATTCTCTATCGAACGGTAGTACCGAGAAAAAACCGATTTTCGACTTCAGAAAATCGATACCAAATTTGTAGGTTAGAAAAAAGTCGAAAATGGGTACCAAATTTGAAGGTTAGAAATGCGTATCTCGACATTCTCTATCGAACGGTAGTACCGAGAAAAAACCGATTTTCGACTTCAGAAAATCGATACCAAATTTGTAGGTTAGAAAAAAGTCGAAAATGGGTACCAAATTTGAAGGTT